CGACGATATGTATGTACGAGTATACTGCTCCTATAGTAAAAGTATGTCGACGCGCTGGTATGTGAAATTTTATTCCGATGCAACACCAAGTGCAAAGTCGTCATGACCTTCCACTTCTGTTAGCGGTTTTTTTTTTCAAATGAAGGCAGTTGTCGAACAACTTCTCTGCTCATCTGCCTGCATTGCCAGTGGACACAGAATTGGACAGTTAGATTAATTGGACAACAGGCCACTGAAATTTTTCACATATTGGTCTCAGATAATATTTCCTAAAACTTAAAATTAAAAAAATCCTTACTGCTATTAAGGGCCTGATGCATATGTAACATTGTAAACCAATTCTAATTCTAAAAAATTTAAAAATTTTAATGAATTTTTTAAAACTCCACCATGAAATAATTATTATTCTGGGTCTCTGGTCAAAAGCTAACATAAGGCAAGCAAACCGTCAACTTTTGACGAAATAACAGGTTCACCAGTCACTTATGTCTGGGATCGCAATAATTCATACACCGTTAATTCGAAATAACTAAATAATCGCAATAATGGTTTTCACAAATAATGACTGCAATCTCAGCGTTTGTGGAGAAAATCTGCATATGAAAGGGGCTGTTGGGAGAAATAAACTGTCAGCTTTTCTCCCGTCGTTTGCTCTTCTTTTGAACTCGAAAATGCTTGTAGGGTACAATGCAGCGCATTACGTGGAAAACTTTCTTCAGTTACGATCGAAATACGAAAAACGGTGCATGAATACAAATGGAAAGATCTGAAGCGAACAGTTGTTTTTTGCATCAAACGATGTGGGGACTTTTAATTCAATGAAATGCATAATAATTAAACAAAATTTTGAGTTGTTTGTTAGTTACGGCCTTTTGCATTTCAGTTAGCAACGTTAGTCACAGATTTTTGTATTTTAGGTGACGAAATACTCTTTATGGAATCAGTGTTAACTTTTTCCAAAAAATCGATTTATGAATCATAATGGAAACCCTGCTTTATCAACTGAAAGGAAATTTTTATTGTCACAATGCAACGAATGTTCTTTACTTATGTGGACCTAAATTGAACAATGTGCGTAAAAAGCTAACTAAAACTTCAAGATTTGTGTTGTGTGACATTTCGAAGTTCATTTCAAATTTTGGCGCGACGATGAATTCCAATTTTATTCAAGAACCTTCTGTAAATTTGACAGATATACAACTCTGCCAAATAACGCACGCAAATCGATTTCGATTTATCAAATGTGAAAAACTTGCGTGCGTGCGTAGAAGAAGTCACGCCGGCAATATAAGGTTGAACCGTAAAGGTTTTTATAGGGATCAATTAAGATTGAAGTTAATTTAGGCGGTGCCCGCAAAGTATAGCAACGATTTGAAAGTAGCACTCGGTGCGAACTCGGTTGGACACCACTGGTGAAGTCCTAGAACTAAAGCGGAATATCATCGACGAAAATTAAAACTTTTGACCCAAAAATTTACGGAATTTCGAGAAATGTCATTCATTTAGTTGCTGCCTCGGTGCCAGCTGAGTGCCTTTTTTCAAAAGCTGATGCTATAGGCACCGAGCAACGCAACCGCTTAGCAACAATACGCTTATCAAGGCTTTAGTTTGGTTAAATAATAAATAATTATCGGCGCTAAAAATACTCGTTTTATTTATTTAAGGCTAATTAACAAGAGAAATGTTTTTGTAAAAAAGGGCCTCTCGATTGATCGATTATTTCTAAATAATTGCAATTAATTGCAATAAAAGTTTGTTTGTTTGTGATTAATCATATGATTAATTAATCGAATATTTTTTTTTTGCCATACCTAGTCAGTACCGTATCGTATGGTATTGGTGCTTGAATTGTTTTCAAGTTATCTGGCAAAAATTTTGCTAAAAAAAATTAAAAAAAAAATATTGACAAAACTTCCTTGTGCATCATTAACTGGGCCTATCTTTATCTTTGTCGTGGAATTCATTTCGAGGAAATATAATTTGCTGTTGCAGGCGATTCGGCGCTTATATTTTTTTTTGTTTTTGAGTAAAAATTAAAAAAAAAAAAATTGACAAAACTTCCTGTGCATCTATTAACTGTGGCTATCTTTATCTTTGTCGTGGAATTCATTTCAAGGAAATATTATTTGCTGTTGCAAGCAATTCGGGGCTTACATTTTTTTTTTGATTTTGTTTTTGAGTACTTTCTCTTCTAAATATTTATAAACAACGCTCTTTAATTGAAAACGCGCATGTGCATAAACAAGTACCTACTAATGTACATATGTGTGTGTAAATAAGTCAACAAGTTTGACTACCCACTGGGAAAATAGGTAATCACCTTACGAGGTAAGTAAGTCATGTTTTCTCTCAATTTTTAGTACCAGTAAAGCAAAAAATGAACAAATACGAACATAGAGCAGTCGCTAGGAGAAGTTCGGCGCTTGGAAATAACTTCGCCTGCTCGTTATTTTGCAGCTGACAATGTAATATGTCGTCGGAGGTGTTCATTTTGTGCTTTACTAGTAGATGACATTGGTCATAATGACAATTTTGGTACTAAAAACTGAAAGAAAACATGGCTTACCTCGTAAGGTGCTTACCCATTTTCCCAGTGGGTAATGCTGGTTGCAATGGTATGCCACATGTATTACATTCGACTGACTACAAAGTACGTATTGCTGTGTATACCTGTATTTTTTCCCCCCAACTCACCCAGCATTCATTTTGTCTCTAACCATACGCTTGGCGCTGTTCTTTTCTTGCTATTTCCACTTTCCTTTTCCTTGAACTGTGGATTTAAATGTTTTTGTTTTTATTGTTATGTATCGCGTGACTTATGCGTATGTTTCTTGTCGCGTTTGTTACACCCTCATAGTCTTGAATGTTTACTAATAGCCAATAAAGCATTCATCATGAGACAGTGAAAACAAAAGACTTAAAGACATGCAAACATTCAAAGTAGGGTGGCTCTTATATAATGCTCGTAGATAAAGAATTTTTTTTATGCAGTAGAATTTTTTTTTTTTTTTTGATTCCAAAAATGGACGATGCTGTTTTTCCCAAAAAACCGTATACGAAATAATACTTTATTTGTTACCTAAATTTTTTAGTCCGCTTAAGTACTCTCTAAAAATGTTTTGTTTAAATTTACGCATATAAAGAGAGGTAACCAGTTTCCTCTCCTAATGTGTGCAAATTTACACACAGTATAATAAAACTAAACTGTGCTGTTTACAATTACATACCGAATTTAACGCGTAGAGCAAAATTACACATAAAATGTTTAAAATAGAGTAAAGATAACCACTAAATATTTATTATAAGTAAAAAATTTATTTCTAGTTTAAAAATTTTTACAATTTTAAACATTTCATGTATATATTTTAAAATCTCACGTTCAAAATCAAATTTTGAACATATTGTGCATATATTTAAAATATTCTGGTTGAAAAATAAATACTTTTCAGTAGTAGTTTTACATGCACATTTTAGAGTCGTTAATACAAAAATGCACATGCATACAGTTATGTGAAAATAAAACTATAGTTTAAAAACTAAAAACACGCTTTTATTACATCAAGTACCAAAAAGTATAAAATAATTTATAGATATAGCGATTTCGTTTAGAAGAACAGGAAGTTCCCTAAGATGATTTATTTTAACTTTTTTAAATTAGCTAAAAATAGGATTAAAGTGATAGCCTCGTATCATAATCAAAATAAAGTCCACTGTAAAGTTTGTTGCAGCTTTTGGACATAATTTTCAACGGGATATCTGTAGTCATACTACGGGTCAATCACCTTAATCCAATTTGTAGCTAATTTAAAAAAGTTAAATTAAATCATAAATACGGTTTTCCAAATATCTCGACCACGTATCGGTAAAATTTTTTGTGGAATTGTTTATTATCATACAAGTAATATACATACGTTTTAAATATGAACCAATCAGACTATAAATGGGGGTTTAACAAATATCTCGTCTCCTGCGCTACTTAGCGGATTAGGTCATAGTTTATATTGCATTGTCCTCCAAAATATGGACACGACAATTTGACCAGTTTTAACTATTTTTCTTTTGTTTATTTAATGTTTATTTATTTATTAAAGTCTAGGAAATTATATAATATTTAAACACCATATAAATTCACATTTCAAACTTTATAGAAAAATGTAACAACTTTTTGCAACAGCAAACTAATCATCAATAATTTTTAGAAAAATTCTAAATATGCTCTAGCCCATTAAATTCTTATAAAATAAAGTGTAAAGTCTGAGTACGCGTACTGTGCATAACTTCGCACAGCCACTGGTACCACTGCAATTTAAATGTCACTTAAGAAAATGTGAGGCAAAGTCTTAACTTAACAGATCGCTACTTTTTTTCGAGTGCTGCTAATTTATATGCAAAGTACATACAAAATTACAGTTGGAAACCTATGCGAAGTATACATAATCAGATCATAAAGATTCCCGTTGAGTTTTAATAATTTTATGGCCGACGGTGTTTTTGGTTTAATAACTTAGTATGGAAGAAAACGCGTGGCATAGATAGCACAAAAAAATCAAGTGTATTTTGTAGATACTTCAAACTTTCCGTTGTGAAACATTGTTGAATTTTTTGAAATTTCTGTAAAAGTTAGAAATTTGGATTTACATTGCTTTTGTTAGACCGTATCATTTTGTCGCGGCGTGTACAAAAGTAGTTCATTTATTTTATTGAAAAACTTTTTCAATAAACAACTAATACTCGTACTGTAAAAAATGCTTTGCATATTGAAGCAAACGAATTTCAAACAATATTTCGTACAATTTTCAAAAAGGATTATTCGAGTTAAGCATAATTTTATGTTTTATAGTCGATATTTTTAAATTAGCCACACATGTATTGGAACTTATTTTCAAAGTTTATAAGTAGAAATATTTATATTATACCCAAATCATTAAGAAATATCAATGCTGTTCCCTAAATAATTACCATTTACATATTATTGAGCCAAATTTTTTTGTTTATTTTAGGAAACGATTTTTCAATTGGATAATGCTGTATATATGTAGTATGACACCCACTCATACATACTTCACCAGGTATCAATACATCCACAAAAAGTCACTATTTAGTACATATTTTGGGACGGTGACGTCATTGGTCTGACGTTGCAGAGGCGATCACCGTCAACGACGATTGCTAATTGACTTTAGCCCTAATTGAACGTAGGCGATATGTGGTTACAGTCGACGGCTCAGCGTGATACACAGCGGATGCCAGGATGGATATTCTGCATAATGAAAATATGATTATACCTCGGAGAGAAGACAGCAAATGGCCACCAAAATCGTGAGATTTTACTTCGCTATAAGCCGCCATTGACCGCGCCACCGTGAGATATTTGAACGGCGGATATTTGAACCGTATTGTATAATGCAAATAATCGAATACATGTGACTGAAAAAAAATAAAAATAATTGCATTAATATCTAACGCGCAGCTTGTTTTCTTCCATTTTAACATCGACTTGCCAAGTTTTAATTCTTATGCAACTGATATAAACTTGGGGGAAGTGTAGACAAAATGAAATCTCAAAAATAAGAGCCAACCTAATATACATACATATATAAACTTAGGAGGTGTAATGCTGTATGCATAAAAAATGCTATTTATATCATTATAGCAAAAACAAACAACAACTAAATTATTAATTACTACAAATTAAGGAATGTGTGCTTGCCTTTATTATTTGTTGTCGTTGGTGGTGGGACATGGCTCCTGAGCGCTGAGTGGATAGGTGGCGACACATCTTGACATTGGCACAGTGATTCATTGTATGTATACTTTTGTGTTTGTCCATATGCACATACATACATTATTTATTGTATGGCAAGATTTTACATGCATATACATATGTATGTATATGGTGGGTGTATAAAATTATATTAAATGGAACTAAATAATCAGTTGGACTGTCTGCTTCTTGATAAAAACGTCCAACTTCCTCTTGTGGGAAATGGCGCATATGCTGACGACTTCGCTATATAAACTGGATTGTGGTCTCTATAAATTCATAACTGATTCACTTCACAAGAAGGCGGAAAACTCCGCCGGCAACTCCACCGGAGATAAATAGGTTTAACATAAGTCTTACGAAAAAAAGTTAAAATCTTAGTCGTTACTCTGAATAAAAAGCTGAGCTGGAAGAAGAACCTCCAAAGCTTAGCGGTATGAGAAGTCTTCTATAGCTCACTACTCGCGCCGAAGCTTACCATAGACGTCTATTCCTTCCTCTATGAAAACACTGCTCATCTTTGGAAATTTATTTTCATTCACACTGGGCGTCACACATAGGTGTATTTGAACGATTTACGCGGCCATAAACCAATTTGACAAAATTTTGAAGGAAACTTTAAAAATTAGTCACATTCGGTAAAGAACATTTTTCAGTCCCCCTCACTTTTCTGAATTGCACAGGGAACGCTTACCGTTGACCGGAAACAGAATATTCTAACGCTGCTTATACATAAATAAATTTTTGCTCTCTAGAAAGATCGTGACGGTTTTAAGTTAATACTTTTATTCGATTGTATGAGCTTATCAATCGCAGCGATTTGGCTTTAGTATAAAAGTTTAACTTTCATTTAAATTTCCGAAAAGTTGTACTTCAACAAATTTTTATACAAAAAATTTTTCAGCACTAAATTCTGCATAAGTTGCTGCACAGCCTATACCATTGTTATCTATCTACTCACACAATCCTGACATGTAAACAGACTCCTTCAGCAGCAACAAATCAGCGATCGACAGCCGCTCCTTCGTACACAAATAATTCACTGTCACTTGCCACTGAAAATGGGGATGTCGACGCTGACGACGGTAGGCATTCTATACAATTGTCCGTATTGGCACTGTACCCTTTTTTACGGACTAATATTAGAACGCCGTGAGCACGCGCTGTTGTTGACAAATTTATATGTGACCAGATTGTGGCAACATGTTGTCAGCGACAATGACAAAAACTACAGAACCGAGCAGTAAAAAAAAACGAAAATTTATAGGGCAAGGAGGATACCGAGCGCACCAACACTTTATTTACTGAAGAGGAGACAACACAACTGGTACCACCTAGTTTATACGAGTGTGAATAAATAGCTGGCTTCTAGAGTCTTGAGTCGGATCGGTGTTGCATACGTGCATACAAACCTAAATGCGTCTGTAGACAAGGCATGGCTCCGAAAATAATTAGTTGCATTTTCCAATGAAACCGAAAGGAGAGAAATAGCGCCTTCAATGTACGAGCACGCGGGAATGTGCGCTTTATTCTACTACACGTCTACATATTCACATGCCACAATAGGTTCGAGACGGCACATTGTCGGTCCAGACACAGCTGCAGTGGGTGCTGGAAGAGCTGTTGGGCTGGAGCAGCTGACCCTAACTGGCACGCTTATATGAACCGCTATTGTGCACCTCGGCCGCAGTTGGAAATTAGATTGAACGTATAAACCGGAACGGTTGAAGTGGTAAGAGCAAAGTGGCAGGTTGCTCATATTGCTTGCACTTATGCAACGGCTTGTTGTTGCCGCTGCTGTGCGCGTAAATCAAAATGAATAAAAATTGCAGATTTGATTTTTTGTTGCCTTGGAGGCCCGACAGAGCTCAGGTCACGTCGCCGCTTCCTTGTATTCGCCAAAGCGTTGCATGCTGCATCCCTACTACTGAGTATATTTGCGTACCTGCCTGCTTTTAAACGTTTATTAGCATTTAATAATTTAACTTTATTGTCTTAAATCATTATTTTATTTGCCATCGTTGGTGGCGCGCCTTGGCTGTGGCCACTTCATCAACGACATCCCATTTAATTTTTCTTCCTATCAATACAGCGTTCATTTGTTTATCCACTGATCCACTTGTCGTTACTTTTTTGGTTTGTTTTCTTCATGTTTTGTTGTCATGCACCTTCTTCTTATCTATTTGAGACCCCTATCTGTTGGGCTATAAGCCGAGGTGCGGTGACAGCTGCTGGTAAATCGTTAAGCTATTTGTTCAGTCAGCTCGTAAAATTTTCCTATGCACATACGAGTAGATATGTGGTACATATATTCTATGTATGTACGTATATATAGTTTGATTTTCTTTCCGCTTTTCTTCGGTGATTTATTGCCTATTTTTGAAGCCTACGCTCAAGTCGACAAAGATGGTGCAGAGACAAGTCAACGACTGCTAAAACCATGAAAAATCACAGTATCGGATACTCCTGACGCATTTCTCTCTATGTAAATGTAGATTTATAAAAATGCCATTAAATATGTATATGTGTATTTTTTCGATTAATTTCTAATAATAAATCCATGTCTCAAAATGGACGGATTCACAGTTTTGCAAATAAATGTATATCAATATTAACTCCACTAAGATAAATGCAATGAAAAACGTATAATAATACTAGCCAATAAATAAGTAACCAGGGTGAATAACCGACTACATTGCGTAGGAGTCTGTAAGCCAAGCCAAAGGAGCATTAAGTTTGATTCCAAATTTTATTTAAAACTGAAGCAAAGGAGATACATAAATATATGAATGCACATAGAAATAATTAGTTGCTTCAAAGTGAAGAAAAGTAAAATAAATTGCACAATATTGCTTGCGCCGATGAAAACGGCGCTGACACTCTAGATTGGAAGGATATGAGATCGGAGAGCTCAAAATCGTCGTCGCACAGTAGGCACAGTTTAACTAATGACTATTTCCCATTTATTCGAGTCAAACTGTTTACGAATAGCTTCTAATAGTGGAAACAAATATGTATAAGTTACAGCGACATGACTCTGGAATGTGTAGTCGAAAGGCAAGTCAACACGTACACAGATGACTCGCTAGCCAGACGCACCGTCTATGGCGCTTATAATATGTAACCGCTTAACACCTATCAGTCGTCTTTAAGTGGGAGGATGCCATTTTTCATATACAATGACAAAGAGATTCAGCTAAACTACAACAAAGAGTTAGGTAAAGTTACCTTCATCATCTGTATCAACCACCGTCGAGTTTTAGTAAAAGCGGCTGCCATTAACGTCTCAACATCCATGCTCTGACTGTACTCGACATAGCGCAATAAAGCGCACCGTCTATGTACTCATATGTACATTTTCATGTTGCTGGAACTCCATATATACATTTGTATACATAATCCAAACATACATACATATATATGTATGCAAATTTACGTATATGGCATTTGTTAGTAAATAAATACATATGTATCAGTATAATGTTCGTTTGCAAGTCGGTAGCAAAATAATTTGTACACTTCAACGCGACCATTGTAAAGTTTGCCGTCGTTGCAAGCACCGCCTTGACACCCTGCCAGGAAAAACTCATTGCCGATTTTGCCGCGCTACAACTGCCCGCATATAAAGCGCTAAATGTAAGTTTTATAACGGATAATAAATGGCGTCATTCTCGATGACAAATAGTCCGGTTTGTGTTTTTGTTCGCTTAACTTGTACTTGTTTTATGTCTCAGCTTCCCTGCAATACTTTGACTCCTTGTCGCATATCTGTTTGGAAAGCAAATAAATTTACTCGTTCTTGGATTAGTTCCTGATGAGATATCCCTAATTTAGTGCTGTGGTAGTGATGTCTATACCTCTAATTCAGCTTATATCAATTCTTGGTACGAGTTCCAAGATCCTTGCATAAATTATGTTAAGTTATGTATGATCAAAGGATTCAATCAACCCGTCTCAGCACTCCGCCGTGCATTTTTCAATTTGCATTAGCGCTAATCTTGCTATGTGAGATGGTGTGAGGCTATGATCAGTAAGTACCCTAACGAAAAGATTATCTACACTAATTCGTTAGAGTGTTCGAGTATTTACATATGTTGGGTGGCATAATATCTAGCATTATTTTGCCTATCTGCATTATATTAAAGGAACAGGAAAAGTTTAAGCTATGAGTTAGTTACTTTTTTCAGTTCAAAAAATTTTAGGGAAGAATAGATTTGTGTCAAATTTCGAAGGGGAAAGTTAACTCCAATGTTAGCCAGTGCATCTGTATGCTTGCTACCATATATCTCTTTATGTCCTGACACCCAGTAGAGAGCGATTAGATTTTGGCTGAAAAATATTGCAGTAGTCATTGGAACTTATTCGTGTGGATTTTTTATTTTTTTTTTCATTGGCGCTGAAACCGTCTAAATGGTTTTAAAAACAGCACGCCAATGGCGGTCTCATCTCTGCCAACTGACGCCAATTGGAATACCAAGTGACACCGAATTGGTCTGGTGGTAAACGAGGACAAGACGAAGTATCTCCTCTCACCAAACCATCAGTCAGCGCATGCACGCTTCAGCACTCACTTCACTGTTGGCAGCTATGATGTAGAAAATGTAGAGAATTTCATTTATTTGGGTACCAGCTTCGAAATCCGACTGCTTCTTTTCAACAAGTAGGCAATTGTGAAGTGACGTACAAAAATCACACTCGA